TGGGGAAAGTTTTAAATTTTTTTAATAATAAATAAATTATTAAGATGACGTGTCAATTTTTGCTTTGTTGTCGCTGACGTGGTTGATGATTTGGCGCCTCTTCAGCGAACCGTCAAATAAGTTGACGGAGTTATTAACGCCGTCATAATTTCTAACGAAAATGGCTATATCTGCCACGCAACATTGGGGTGAACAAACATACCCGCAAACTGACCCACCCGTCCAAACCGACCCAACCCACCCGTATTTATCGCTAAAACAAAGATTTTGGGTTGGGTGAGGGTTTTGTTTTGTACAACCCGCCTCTTTTGGGTTGGGTTTGGATTTTGGATTACACAACCTGTAGAACCCGACCCAACCCGGGTTTAGGGTTTTAGGGTTTAGTGGTTTAGGGTTTAGGGTTTAGGGTTCAGGGTTCAGGGTTTAGGGTTTAGGGTTTTAGGGTTTAGGTTTGATTTTTTCCAAACCCTAGTGCATGGGTTGGGTGATAAAATGGCTAAACCCGGACCACCCGACCCATGTACACCCCTACGCAACATCTTTCAAAAGTGGCTATTAGTGGTATTTCGCCAAATGTGGCTATAAGTGGCACAAAGTTGGAAGTTTTGGCTATGCAAGTGTATTTTGCCTATAATTTATAATGACCGTTAGATTAGATCTACGGTAGAGAATCATACACGTATTCATTCCATAGCCTAACTCCGATTTAAAACTAGATCGTCTAACTGAAGCATGCCCTCACTATCAAATTGTATCGATTAAGATTTGCTATTGCTAATCTCAATAATCCAAATTGTACCAAATAAGATTTGCTATTGCTAATCTTATTCAGTTATGATAACCAATACATTTCCCAAACACTACAAATAGGTTTTAGTTAGAAGGCCATTAAAGATTTGCTATTGCAAACCTTAAATTGAAACTAATTAACATTTTATTAACAATGTTTTAACCAGGACAAAAACTGGTGTCTACAAGTAGTATGGAAGGTTTATTGTCCAAATGCATGGTATGCACATGTAGATAGCTTTTTTATATAATATAGTCACGGTAAAGCCATTGACTTCTATACAAAAATTGTCGTCGTCTTCATTTATTTTGCTTTACTTCCTTAATTATTTTTGTTGTTATGTTTAATTGTTACAACATATGTATAGAAAACGTGTACACTTAAACTATCAAAATACCTTTACAGCATTGATGGTTAAGATTTGCTATTATCATCGCAAGGTTGCCTGTTCGATTCTCCATATAGTCTTATTTGTTTTACCCACATCCATGACTCCATGTACTCATGTTTCAGCTACGCTTGTGGAACGACGTCGTCCTGGGGACACTCTCGCTTTAGCAGCAAGCACAAACGACGACGTTTGTCATGTCTCATCGTCTTCCCTGGGCAGTAATTGGAGATAACCATGGTTTTGATGGTGTTTGGGTTTTGATGGCTGTTGGTGAGATAAATGGTTAGCTATGGGGTAGCTTGGGTGAACAGATAATGGCATTTTGGATAGTCGAATTGGGGTGTGGTATGTTGATGATACAGTAATTTGAACCAAATTAACCTGAATTTTTTACGTTACTTTTCATTAGGCAACTGATCCCGTTTATAAGTAATTGAGAAATGTTTCGATAAGTCTAGAAAGATACAACCAACAATTCATTAAGAAGGGCAGAACCCGTACAAAAAAGCATTGTGTTCACACATTAATAAACTTTCATAACAAGAGAAATAATATTAAGGCGAACACTAAGCAACTTTAGTAGATTCTATTTACATTGCTGAAATGGCATTCAGTTTCCAGGAGGAAAAAATAATTTTACCAATAACAGCTCAAAATAACTCGACACATTGTTCCAAGGACCCAATGCGATCATAAACTCATAAGAGTTTCCACCAAGCAAGTTGATAAGGGTAACGAAATCGGCATTGGCCATATCTTTATCACTTACTACATCTGAAACGATTTTGCGCAAGTTTGTGGATGGGAAAACAACCTCAAGATCCAAATAATCATCCTCGATAGTTAGGTGGATCAAATGAACTCTACATTCAGCACACCAGGATGTCTTCACCTCCCCGACACGTCCGGAGATGAGGTAAGCAGTGCCCTGTATTTAAAACAAGAAAAAGGAATTAAAAAAAAATAACAAGCATTAACAAACACAATAACTGCAAACGCGATCGAGAAGGATGAATGACAAAAACCTCATCATCACCATTCTCTTGCACCAATGTAAGGTCGATTGAATCCGACAAACTAGACATAGATACTGCTTCCTCATACTTCAGTTTTTCAACGAAACCAGGCTCAACCAGAAAGTCGCTATAAATAAAACTGTTAGTAATGGCTGACAAAAGGAATAGGAAGCGGAGTGGACTGTCGTAACGATTAGTTGGTAAAAACAATACTTACGGGTACCATTGCGATATATAATCCATTGTCAGAAAATTACAGCACGAAACCCTACTCAATTTCTGTTCTTGCACGTACCGTGGATGTTCAACAGGAGTATAAGAGCACATTATGATCAACTAATCTAATAGAACGTACCAAATAGTTAACAATCAATTAATAAAGAAAATTACCTGCGGCGGTGGAAACGTGGCCGGCGACACCGCGTGGTTAGTCGAGCAGATCGGGAACGAATCAGCTAGAGCGAATCAGCGACGGAGGTGGAAAGCGACGATGGTGGCCCGCTCTTCTTCCCACAACGAAACTGTTTAGCCCTGACGACTTTCCTCCGCTCTTCTTCCCACAAACGCTAGAGCGAATCAGCGGCGGAGGTGGCAGGCGACGATGGTGGCCCGCTCTTCTTCCCACAACCGATGTGGTTAGTCCGGGCGACTTTCCTCTGCTCTTCTTCCCACAACCGCTACAGCGAATCAGCGGCGGAGGCGGCAGGCGACGATGGTGGCCCAGAGGAGGAGACCGCTACTGAGCGACCAGCGGTTGATTGATCGACGGAGGCGGAGACGTGCAAGCAACGGAGGCGAAGACATGCAACGAAGGCGGAGGGAGAAGGATGGCGGTTGAGTATGTGTCTGAAGGAAAACAGAGAAGGCAGCGCATGGGGAGGGGAGAAAAAGCAGAAGATGAATCGTTTGCTAGATTTGGTAGGTAAGTAGTCTTCCAATTTTCAACTTTGCCATTATTGTTCTCTGTTTTTTTTTTACAATTCATTATTGTTAAAGAGACAAAAGGAGGATTGCCGCCGATCGGCTCGACTAACCCTAATGGGCCTGGTACAAAAGGCCTGCTTAGTTTATTTTTATGTTTTAATTTTACTAGAACTGATTTTACAATTATAAATATAACAGTGGAAGTATATGGAATCAAAATGCTTGTTCAGGAGCAATGGTGAAAAATGCCCATGGTAATGACCGTGACGCTGGTTCGAACCTCACACCATCTCAATTTTTTTTGTTTTCAGCTACACCTATAGAACGACGCCGTTCCAAGCCACTTTCGATTCATAGACGAGCACAAAACGATGGCGTTTTTTCATGTACCGTTGTCTTCCCTGCCCCCCCCCCCCAAATTCCCAATTATCCGGTCGCCGCCGTCACCACTCACCACCGTAATCCGACGGCCGTCTCTCTTCATCGTCCAAACTTTCTCACTCCGTTACGATTCTGGACTCCGACCAAGAGAATTCCCTTGACGAGACCCAATACCCTCTCTGCATTTCAGCCTTAGTCATTGTTTACACGACGTAAATGTCATAGTCGTTCACCGTCAATTGCTTCGGATTCGTCGCGAAAGGGTAGCTGACATCTGTGACATTAAAAACAGATGATGAGCCAAAGTCAATGTAGGTCGGAAGCAGGGACGATGATGATGATGGTAAAATTAGGGTTTTGCAATTGGGGTATCTAGAAAAATAGTAATGACGATGATGGTGGTTTAGGATTGTCGAATTGGGGCAACATTTTAATGGAACTTTATTTCATCAATTGTATAATTTTTGGGTGTTCATTAAAAGATCTTGAAGAAATAAGGTATCATCTGAGTTCTCAAAAAAACGAATAGGTATCATGTGAGAAAATAGAACGATAATTATTATTGGGGGGCTTCATAGCACATATAATTATTTAAGGGGTGCATGTAGTAATCATTATTACTAATTTTAATCTAATTTATAATGACCGTTAGATTAGATCTACGGTAGAGAATCCTGTCGCATAGTATGTGTCTGACGCATACGAGTCGTTTCCCATTAAGTCGTAGATTTGTATTAAAAAAATCTTCAGCTATTAGCTATTAAGTGGTAGATTTATATAAAATAAAAGGCAGATTAAATTAAAATGATTGATAATGATATTAGCAAGTGCAGAAATATATATGATTCAACATAGATTATTAACAACGGTGGAGAAACTTGAATGAAATGGAATGTTATTAGAAAAAGTGAATGAAAGGAAAGTATCTCTATATCTCACTCTTTCTCCAGCGTCTCCCCTTATCTTTTTCCCAACCAAAAGCTCTCCCCAACCAAGAGCAGAAGAGCTCGTCTTATTTAAAAAAAAATGTCTGCCATGTGTCGTTTCCTCCTTCGGCTTCGTCCAGGCTGAAATTGCCCTGCATCTTTCTAATTGACCAAGTTTTGAGGCTGTATCTCAAGCCTCCACCTACAAAAGTCGGCGCTGACCAAGTGCTTAGAAAATATTGGGCCGAGTTGGGCCTATCTTGAATCCGCCTGGGCCGGTACTGGGCTCGGTTTAGTCTTGAACCTGGGCTCCGCTGTGGGCAGAACTCTGATTATCGGTTTCTTGGGCTTGAACTAACTGATCTCTCTTCTTTTTTCCAGGTTAATGTTGCTGGTTTTGGGCTCGCAAATGGTGACATGGATTTGAGAAGACAGCCCATTGTATTAGCAATGGAAATTGTGTATTGTTGTGTAACAAACTTTAAATTTAATGAAGATATCTTGTCATTGCCTTCGAACATTGAAAACACTCTCTAATACAAAACCCTAACTGTGTACCAAGTCTTTTCTTGATGTTGCTTCTTAAGACGATTGCAATCTGCAAGTAATCCATTTATGTATTCAAGCCGACTAAATTCCACTTCTTAGTTTGAAGTCTTCAAGTCTTTTCATAGTTCTTAGACCCATACAAAATGTGGTGTTTACAATCACTATTTGCCATGATACCGACTCGAGACTAGAGTTCTCGCCGAAGAAGTTAGGAGGTGTCTTGTGCGTCTGTTGACCTTGCAAGCTGCTAAATGATTTAGAATTTCCTCTACCGACGATCGTGGTTGCATGTTTCTATAAAGGTCTGGAGAGTTGCATTGGTTTGAGTCAAGTATTTGCACATGTTTGCACTCTCGTTTGTTGATCATTTTGGTTTGAGTTTTTGCTTTCTTGGACTATTTTACGCTAGTTTGTGTTCCTTTGTCACATTTCAGGTCCTAGCATGTAAATTGAAGCATAGACGCAAGTTTCAAGTCAATCGGAGATCATTTGGCCATTCGGAAGAAGAAACTCGAGAATGACCCGAGGAAGAATGGACTTCTACCTCATATTATGGACAAATAATCATGGAAGCTTGTCATGAAAAGAAAGAGGACGAGACTACGAGCTTCTAGGATCAAACGGCGACTAATTCGGAGTCCGAACAAGGGAGAAACGAAGCATTAAACAAGAGCGGAGGAAGAAATACGGGCAGGAGAAATACGACCGTATTTTCCGCTCCCATGCCCTTATTTTCACCGCCGAGAGGAGCCTTGGATGCGCTGAAACTTAACCTAATCGCGCGTTTTGGATGAAATACGGGCATGGAGGAATTACGACTGTATTTCTGCCCGTATGTCACCTATAATCGGGGTTTTGAGGCAGATTCGAGCCAAAGAAAGGGGAATCGAGTTTTTGAGCAAAAAACAGAGCTTTAGAGAGAGAAAGTGCGAAGAACAAACCCTAGGAGCTATTTGGAGTGGATTTCTCACCATTGAAACCCAGATTGCATCCCCAAAAGTGAAGATCGACATCCTAGAGTAGATTATCCTCATCTTTATGAGTATGACTACTCTGATTTCTGTTTTCCTCTCTCTCTCTCTCTTGTAGAGAAACTCACCAGCTTCAAAACAAGACTTTCTTTGCCCCTTTCCATTGATCCAATTGGAAGAAACTTGAGTGCAAAGTAAGGTACCTGAAACGGATAAAACACTTTGACAAATTTTGGAATTCATTTCATAACTTGAGATGGATTTTAATTCAATCCATTCTGGCTTGTAGACTGAGCCAAATGGGATCATATCACTAAGCAATCAAGTAAAAACATGTGTACAATAAGAAATTTTCATTGTTTTCATAACCGAAGCGGATACTGAATCGAAAAATTTATTGACTTACGGTTCATTGGTTAACCTTTACAAAACCATTGAACGAATCATACATGATATATAACATACAAGGCTTGTATAATACACCAATTTATAAATGAAGTTATCATTAACCATAAATAATTTCAAATTCTTATCATCACAAAAAGATGTACAAATCTTTCAAACCATCTCACAAAAGAAATCATTTTTTTTTTAATTCTTAAGGTGCCTGTCGGTTGTGGACCATGTAAAGTCGACAACGAGGTTGGAAAATGAGAAGAGTAAGTATAAATAAAATTAATAATTATGAATAAAATTAATAATTATGATTTGATGATCTTAGTTTATGTTGAAGTATTTTAGGAAAAAAACTTTTATGGTTAAAATAATGCACCAGTAGATCAGTTAAATCGTAGTGGTTCATCTAGTTTTATATTGAACCGTAAAAAAAATGTTTGGTTCATCGATAACCGTCCAAACAATGGACCGAACCATTATCGCAACTGGATTGACGTCTTTACTGGCCCGGCCTTCCATCCGGTTCGGTTTTTATAATAAAGGGATGGGAATTTGTTTTTTTTTTTTTTTTTTTTTTTTTTTTGAGAATGGGAATTTGACAATTTGTTCTTAAGAACTACTTAGGGAAAAAATCGCTTTAAAGGCAGGAAAAAGTTCTTTCGTTCGCGAGCTCAGGTCCTCCTCGCTGAGGACTCAGGAGTCTCTTCTGTTCTTGAGAGCTTGTCCTCGCGTCTTCGCCTTCCTTCCGTCTCTCTCAATTTTACGTCGCCTCATTTCTCGATTCGCGCTTCAGCTACCAGATTCCATCCGGAGCGGCCTTCCCTGCTGCTTCATCCGTCACCGTCACTCATGACTATAATGATTGCTACGCCGCTGGATGTAAGCGCCACTCATTCTCCGAATTTCATTGATGCAAACTGTTCGTAGCTAGCAAGCTGTTCGTTCGTTCTAGAGCTATCTCGCGATCTTATTCCTGGTTTAGTTTCCCGTTGTGCGAAGCTCTGAATTTGGAGCCTGAGAGATGTAATTTTGTTTCATTAGCGTGTGGTGCATGGTTAGGGTTTTGATTCGGTATTGTAGTGTCATTTTTGCTCGATCGCTGCTTGACTTGTGCCTTGTCTTCCTTTGGATTAATAGCAAGAAGACGAGGAGCTGCAAGTGCCGCATCCAGATTCTGGCGAAGTTCAGCCAATGGAAGGTTAGGAAGTTGAATTTCTTCGTTCACTTGTTTTGGCTTGTTGACTTGCCTCTGTTAGGTAGTTTCCGGTGTTAGGGCTCATAATATGTTGTCTTCCCCCTCCTAATAGTGGCACCAGTGGAGCTTGCTGCTAGTACAGTGGAGGCTCAGCCAGTGGAGAAACCTCCTCGGTCCCTGAAATTCACGTGGAAAATTGAGAATTTCGCAAGGATTAACAAAAAGATGGACTATTCTGATACATTTGGTGTTGACGGTTACAAATGGTACTTGGGTTAAAATCTTGCTTTTTTCTGCAGCTGAACTTGTTAATTTGTTGTGTGTGATGGGATCACCTAGTTCTCATTGTATCTTTTTTTGTTCCATTTTTCTTCGAAAATTGCTTTGGCAGGCGGATTCTCATCTATCCTAAGGGAATCGATGTCGGCCACCTGTCGATATTTTTGGATGTTGCAGACAATTCTACATTGCCCTATGGCTGGAAACGCTTTGCAAAATTCAGCTTGGCTGTAGTGAATCAATTTGACAACAAGTGCTCAATCAGAAAAGGTATGTTTCTGGTTCTGATAGACTGTGCCTTGGTTTCTGGTTTGATATTATGTCGAAACATCGCAAGCTCATGCCTGGGGCGAATTTAGGACTAAGCCACAAGTAATTGTTTGGTATTCTGTTCATTGATTATTGCTTGCTGGGAATGCAGTTCAAGCATATACTATAACTCTTCCTAACTGCTCAAATTTATTCTAAAATCAGTAAGGTCCATTGTGTGCTCTTGGCTCTCAAAGTACTTAATGCTCTGGCGCTATTATTTTGTTGATTAGATTCAGGTCTGGTCCACTATCGCAATGTATTGAATGAGTGTTTTCTGATATGCTTACTTTGTGTTTTCCCAGATGTTGAACATACCTTCAATGGAACGACGAGCAACTGGGGTTTCAAATCATTTATGCCCCTCAGTGATATGTTTGATCCTACTAAGGGATATCTTGTCAATGATACTTTGATTGTTGAAGCTGTTGTAAGGGATTTTCTTGATGATTGGTCTTATGACTCTAAGGAAAAGAAAGGTTATGCAGGTCTAATGAATCAGGGAGCAACATGCTATATGAACTCCCTCCTACAAGTCCTGTACCATATTCCTCGCTTTAAAAGGGTTGTTACCATTGCAATTTTCATGCTGCTGGATTTGAATGTTGATTATTATTGTACTGTTAGAATGATGTTATTTTGAATTAATTTGTAGGCCGTATACAGCATACGAACAATTGGGAATGACAAGCCTAGCGGAAGCTTTACTTCAGCTCTGCAGAATCTGTTCTTCAGGCTTCAAGCTAAGACAACAAGGGTTTCAACCAAGGAATTAACAAAATCATTTGGATGGAAGATAAATGATTCTTTCAGGCAACATGATGTGCAAGAATTCAATAGAGTACTATGTGAGAAGTTAGAGGATGCAATGAAGGTGACAAAATCTAATAGGCTGCATCTGTCTTTTTGTCTTTTGGTGGGATTTGCATATGTTATTAGTTATGGGTATTTATCATTATTGTTGTTATCTTAATCTTCTCTGGGATTAGGGAACTACTGCGGAGGGCACAATCAAGATGCTATTTGAGGGTGAATTTATGAGCTACATTCGGTGCCTGTCTGTGGACTACAATTCCACGAGGAAGGAGTTCTTCTATGGTACTAACATTTTCTTGGCATGTGAATGTTCTGTATAGCACTCTGATGGTAGGATGCTGAAATGCACATTACATGGCAGATCTGCAGCTCGATGTAACAGGCTGTAAGGATGTTTATGCATCTTTTGACAAGTATGTGGAAGTTGAACAACTTTCGGGTGATAACAGATACCATGCTGAAGGACATGGTCTACAGGTTAGTCAATCATTGTCCGTGTCTGGGATCTCAGCTTTATTTCAGAAATCCTGATTTAAGACAAACTGATTTCACTATATAGGAGCCAGGAGGGTTATTTGCGGGTAGGAGCCAGGAGGGTTCATTATATGTTTTTTCCGCGGATTAACCACTATGGTCGCCTCAAGGCTTAGATTGCTCAAGTCTGAGTCGTGTTTGCCCCTTCGTGGCAGCTGTTTTGCTAGTTATCTCTGTCAGTTGTTGGAACTGTTTCTGTTTTGCCCTTGTTTTGTCCCTGGATGTTCTTAGCTATAAATTTTGAAATGTGACTTTGGATTTGAGTCACGGTTTGGACATCTTAATTAGCTTTCCAAGTTTTGCCGTTAAAGTTTCATGTTTTCAATGCCTATGTCTCCTTTAGTTATCGATTTTCTTTAATCTAAACTAGATGCCCCATCAGTTAAACTAAGCCTAACACCTGGGCATTGATACGTTATCAGAAAGTAACACTTACCAATAGTCGGGAATTGATCTCCCAACATATGAAAACAAACCGAAAGCCTATAGCCGTTCAGTTTGTGGCTGAAGGTGGTTCCGGTTTAGCGGTACTTTCACTTTCCACTAGGGTGGGCACGTGAGTGGTTAATCCGCGGATTGATATCGATCCACCCGCAAATAATCCGACCTACACGCAAATAACCCCCCCTTATAATTTTTTCCGCTTCTGTCTGCTATATAGGAGCCAGGAGGGTTCATTATATGTTTAACTACTCTCCCCAAGCTAATCACTCAAATGATTTCTGTGGACATCGCTGATAGTTTGTGCTTGGTGTTTTCAGGATGCAAACAAACGTGTCTTGTTTCTTCGCTTCCCACCTGTTCTTCAACTGCATCTAAAGCGCTTTGAATATGATAAGTCGCAGGGCACCAGCCTCAAGGCGGGTATTTTAATTTGATGTACATCTCAAGCATGTAACAGACTTTGGTGTTCCTTGAAGAGCTTATTTCTATGGTGCATGCTTTATTAACTATTTAACCTATGCTTAATAGGCCTGATTCTCCTTTTTAATGTGAATTGTGTGCTGCAGATCAATGATCGGTATGAATATCCTCTTCAACTTGATCTTGATAGAGAAGGTCGCAAATATTTGTCCCCAGATGCTGATTACAGTGTTTGTAATCTCTACACTCTTCATAGGTGAGATTATTAAGTGTTTCTGATGTAGTTTGTGTTGGCATACTTGGTGGTCAAATGTGTTTCTCATACTAGGGTGTTAGTACTTCTACTTATGTGCTCTCCTGGTTTGTGATACAGTGTATTGGTTCATGCTGGAAGGGAAAATGCAGGGCATTATTATGCTTTTATTAGACCTCCTGTATCGGATGAATGGTATGCATATGGTCAAGATTGTGGGATATCTTTGCACTATCAACTTGTTTTTCTTCCTCGTAACACTTTGCTAGTGTCTCAATATCCTAGCATTTTGAGGGAGCGTTTGCAGTTTTTCCTTTTTCACTTTTTTTTGTTGCTGATGTCTTGGGTAAACTCCTCAACAGCTTGGATAGTGAGATCTGTCCTCGGTTTAGCAAAAAAATTCTTTGAGATCCTACACATATGAAACATTCTGATCATTAACAAGGCACTTAAGGCGCCTTTCCATGTTGGAGATGAGTCTGAATGTCATGGAATCACATGTTTGTTGTCTTGACATTGTGAACCTTTGAAATGATCACTTGGCAGAGAGCAGTAAATGGCAAAAACTGGGTAGATTCTTTTATTTACCAAGTCTTCTGCTGTTAACATGTCAATAATAATTGCGAGAAACTGCATTTGTTTAATAAGTTAATAAGCATTCCCTACGCAGTGATTTTTTTCCGCCTGCAAGAAATTATTAATCAGTCGATACGGATTATTTCCTGCTAATAGCTGGCATTAATGAATGAGGTTTGGAGAGGATGATCCAGTACTTATGTCGAAGTTTTAACTTGATTTCACATTTGCAAATCTAATTACTTGAACTCGCATTCACTCTGGATTTTTGGCTTTGTTCTTTTAGGTACAAATTTGATGACGAACATGTGACAAAAGAAGACGTGAAGAGGGTACTAGAAGAATACGGTGGCGAGGAAGAGGTAATGGTTTGTCAAATCTATGATCCATAGTGTAATATGACTAATGAGTATAGCATGGCTTATCTTATCCTTCTTGTTTTGCATCTGCCGCAGACGGAAAACTCGAATGCATATATGCTTGTCTATATACGTGAAAGTGACATAAAGAAAATCTACAATATGGATGGAAACTAAAAAGGTAATTGTTGAGCAGTTGAGAGTGAGTAAGTTTTTGTTGTAGCCAAGAGCACTTTATGGTTGTAGGTTTGATTTTTGTGGATTAATTTGTTAGGTGCTGCAGTCCGCAGATCTGATGTGATGGAGAGGGAAAGCGGGGAGCCGTAGTCGTGACGACGAGTTTTTTCCGCGGATTAACCACTATGGTCGCCTCAAGGCTTAGATTGCTCAAGTCTGAGTCGTGTTTGCCCCTTCGTGGCTGCTGTTTTGCTAGTTATCTCTGTCAGTTGTTGGAACTGTTTCTGTTTTGCCCTTGTTTTGTCGCTGGATGTTCTTAGCTATAAATTTTGAAATGTGACTTTGGATTTGAGTCACGGTTTGGACATCTTAATTAGCTTTCCAAGTTTTGCCGTTAAAGTTTCATGTTTTCAATGCCTATGTCTCCTTTAGTTATCGATTTTCTTTAATCTAAACTAGATGCCCCATCAGTTAAACTAAGCCTAACACCTGGGCATTGATACGTTATCAGAAAGTAACACTTACCAATATTCGGGAATTGATCTCCCAACATATGAAAACAAACCGAAAGCCTATAGCCGTTCAGTTTGTGGCTGAAGGTGGTTCCGGTTTAGCGGTACTTTCACTTTCCACTAGGGTGGGCACGTGGGTGGTTAATCCGCGGATTGATATCGTCCACCCGCAAATAATCCGACCTACACGCAAATAACCCCCATTATAATTTTTCCCGCTTTTGTCTGCTATATAGGAGCCAGGAGGGTTCATTATATGTTTAACTACTCTCCCCAAGCTAATCACTCAAATGATTTCTGTGGACATCGCTGATAGTCTGTGCTTGGTGTTTTCAGGATGCAAACAAACGTTTCTTATTTCTTCGCTTCCCACCTGTTCTTCAACTGCATCTAAAGCGCTTTGAATATGATCAGTCGCAGGGCACCAGCTTCAAGGCGAGTATTTTAATTTGATGTACATCTCAAGCATGTAACAGGCTTTGGTGTTCCTTGAAGAGCTTATTTCTATGGTGCATGCTTTATTAACTATTTAACCTATGCTTAATAGGCCTGATTCTCCTTTTTAATGTGAATTGTGTGCTGCAGATCAATGATCGGTATGAATATCCTCTTCAACTTGATCTTGAAAGAGAAGGTCGCAATTATTTGTCCCCAGATGCTGATTACAGTGTTTGTAATCTCTACACTCTTCATAGGTGAGATTATTAAGTGTTTCTGATGTAGTTTGTGTTGGCATACTTGGTGGTCAAATGTGTTTCTCATACTAGGGTGTTAGTACTTCTACTTATGTGCTCTCCTGGTTTGTGATACAGTGTATTGGTTCATGCTGGAAGGGCAAATGCAGGGCATTATTATGCTTTTATTAGACCTCCTGTATCGGATGAATGGTATGCATATGGTCAAGATTGTGGGATATCTTTGCACTATCAACTTGTTTTTCTTCCTCGTAACACTTTGCTAGTGTCTCAATATCCTAGCATTTTGAGGGAGCGTTTGCAGTTTTTCCTTTTTCACTTTTTTTTGTTGCTGATGTCTTGGGTAAACTCCTCAACAGCTTGGATAGTGAGATCTGTGCTCGGTTTAGCAAAAAAATTCTTTGAGATCCTACACATATGAAACATTCTGATCATTAACAAGGCACTTAAGGCGCCTTTCCATGTTGGAGATGAGTCTGAATGTCATGGAATCACATGTTTGTTGTCTTGACATTTTGAACCTTTGAAATGATCACTTGGCAGAGAGGAGTAAATGGCAAAAACTGGGTAGATTCTTTTATTTACCAAGTCTTCTGCTGTTAACATGTCAATATTAATTGCGAGAAACTGCATTTGTTTAATAAGTTAATAAGCATTCCCTACGCAGTGATTTTTTTCCGCCTGCAAGAAATTATTAATCAGTCGATACGGATTATTTCCTGCTAATAGCTGGCATTAATGAATGAGGTTTGGAGAGGATGATCTAGTACTTATGTCGAAGTTTTAACTTGATTTCACATTTGCAAATCTAAGTACTTGAACTCGCATTCACTCTGGATTTTTGGCTTTGTTCTTTTAGGTACAAATTTGATGACGAACATGTGACAAAAGAAGACGTGAAGAGGGTACTAGAAGAATACGGTGGCGAGGAAGAGGTAATGGTTTGTCAAATCTATGATCCATAGTGTAATATGACTAATGAGTAGATTGGCTTATCTTATCCTTGTTGTTCTGCATCTGCCGCAGACGGAAAACTCGAATGCATATATGCTTGTCTATATACGTGAAAGTGACATAAAGAAAATCTACAATATGGATGGAAACTGAAAAGGTAATTGTTGAGCAGTTGAGAGTGAGTAAGTTTTTGTTGTAGCCAAGAGCACTTTAGGATTGTGGGTTTGATTTTTGTGGATTAATTTGTTAGGTGCTGCAGTCCGCAGATCTAATGTGATGGAGAGGGAAAGCGGGGAGCCGTAGTCGTGACGACGAGAGAGCAGCTGAAATCCAAGAGGCTTTCGAAACAATGGTTTTACCGTAGTTGTAGCAGAGTATTCAGAAGTTGAGGGTAGGTTGGTCTGGACGGCGGGTGGGATTTGGAGGTCGGTGACGGTGAGGAGCAGGGGATTCAGACATTTTTTTGTTTCTCTTTAGGTAATACTAGAATCAATACCCACGGCTACGCTGCGGGGACATTTACTCGTATTTGGCAAACTTTTGTCAGGTTAAACAAATGAAATACAGTCAATGAAACAAAGCAAATAATAGTTGCAATAGTCGGTAAAAGCTTCTCATACTAACGAACTTCATATACCAAACAAATGGCTGGTTCAAAAGGGTAAAAAAAAAACCTTACAAAACATACATCAAGAGCTCATACTTGGATCTAGTACCAACCTGACTGACCGTGATGTGCATAAATAGAAAGGATATTGTGATGCACTAGTTGAGCTAACTGTTCTAAACTTGACCTAACCCTCCCTCCCTAAGCACTGTACCAAACCTGGAAACAATAGTAATTATATTTGAAAACATTGATCAATACTCTGATACTAAGGAAGAAGATGAAAGCCGAATTCCGACATCGAGTTCTAGATGAAGAGTGATCGGACATAAATCCCGTATGTATCAATTCGCCATGTGAGATTCGTCACCCAATATTTGCAGTTCAGCAATGGCTTACTGAAAAACCTGGAGAGAAAAAAAGCAATTCAGGCTGGGAAATCAGTTAGCAATGGTATCCGAAAAAATTTGTATCCAATTTCAGTAGATGAAGCAAGAACATATGTGCAACTCAGCCAATCCATAATTCAACTCACCCTTTGCGAAAAGATAACATTGTTGTTCAAGTTTTGAGTTTCTGAACATCCCAACAGACCTACATGCCTGTTTTTTCCAACCTATAGAATAGCTAGGAAAGGTTACCACTCAAGTCAAAAACTTCAAATAACAACAGTTCAAAGATAACCTGTATGTACCATGGTGACCAGAACTGATTGAATGGAAGAGAGATATTAATCCTAACCAATGACTAAAATCCGAACCATACCTCTTTGTAGTTTGTAGTGGAATAGTGATACAGAAAGAGAGACCGATAAGTGTTCTATCCTACTAATGAAACAGAAACAGACAAGCACTATTTGGGGTTCAGTCCTACATTCAATTCTCAAATCTTCTCAAGATCATGAACCTGTCATCACATTTATTTAGCATATCTTTGCAAATCCTTTCTCATATCTGTATAGCTCCTTTCAGCCATCTATAAATGGCAGAGCCTTGTAATGATATTAAGAAAGAGAAGAAATACACTTTCATTGCATCTTCATGGTATCAGAGCATAGTATACTCTAACGAGTTTTTTTTTCTTCCCTCCCCAATTCTTCTGCTTATCCTTCCACTCTTCTGCTTCTCCTATAATGTCAACTTCTTCCTCCACAACCTCCTCTCCTTCGGCCTCTATTCAGCCCATCACACCTCCTCGTCTATCTCTCCCCTCCAACCCTCAACTCACAGTGAAACTCACTCCAACCAATTATTTGCTTTGGAAGGCCCAATTACAGCCTCTACTACGTTGCCATCGCTTAATCGGCCACATTGACGGCACCTCTCCGGCTCCACCACTCACCATTGATGCTCAGTCAAATCCAGACTATACTGAATGGTATGAAAGAGATCAATTGGTTCTTACCTGGATTACCCTCTCTCTGTCTGAGGCAGTCATGCCCACCATCATCAATAAGTTGACTGCTCGTGCTGCCTGGGATTCTTTGGCTCGGGTTTATGCTTCCGGGTCGCCTGTCGTCGTTGGGCAGCTCCGGCGAACTCTGAATCACATCTCTCGTGGCGAGGATTCAGCCCATGACTACCTCCAACGCGCCAAAGCCATCTTCGACCAACTTGCCACGCTCGGAGCCCCGATTACAGAAGCGGAACTTGTCACTGCGATTCTCGACGGTCTCGATGAGGATTTTCGGCCATTTACCCGCAATTTGGAGGCAAAGTTGGAACCAATTTCGTTTGAAGACCTCAGCAGCCTCCTCATCAGTGAAGAACTTCAGCTGCGCCGTTTTCGGTCACTCTCCTCTGCTGGTGGTGCTGCCCCTCCGTCGGCCTTCTTCTCTGGCCACTCTCGTGGTCGCGGCAGCCGCTTTACAAGAGGCAGAGGCGGTGGACGTTCAACCCGTCAGTCTGCCCGCGTCAACACTCCACGGGCTCACCATCAACTATCGGCCCAACCTCATCTAGCAGCCCAGCCGTTGGCCCATGTTTATTCTGCCTCATTTAATAAATCTATGTCTGCAGGAGTTCTTGGTTCTGGGCCCTCCGGCCCATCTGCAGTGGTCTGCCATAATTGTGGAGGAAGGGGTCACATTAGGCCCAATTGTCCAAGCCCAAAATATCATATTCCCGCCAATTCTTCTAGCCCATCTTCGTACCTAGCCCAATCGCCTCAGCCTTTTCACTCCTCTCAAAATTGGCTTCTCGACTCTGGAGCCAATCATCATCTCACCTCCGACCTCGATAATCTGGCTCATCATTCTGAGTATAATGGAACCGATCAAGTCACATTTGGTAATGGTAACTCTCTTCCCATCTCTCATTCAGGATCTTCTACCGGTCATCTGTCTAATTATTCTGTGTCTCTTGATAATATACTTCCGAGTAAAAAATGCTCCTCATAATCTTCTTTCCATTAGTTCTCTTACCCGTTCTAACCCCATCTCCATTGAATTCTTTGACTCTTATTTTGTTATAAAGGACCGTCAGACGAAGCATGAACTTTATCGAGGCTCTACAGTTGATGGCCTTTATTCTCTTCCGCTTCACATCAACCGGCATACTCCTCGTGCGTTTGCTGCTTCACTCAATCTCTGGCATCAGCGTCTCGGTCATGCCAATTTGCGTGCTGTTCGCCAGCTTTTGTCGTCTCATCATATAAAATACTCCTCCGACTCTTCTTCTTTATGTCATGGTTGTTCCCTTAGTAAGATTCATAAACTTCCATTTCCAGCTTCCTCTTATCGTGCATCTGCTCCTTTAGAACTTATATGTAGTGATCTTTGGGGACCCGCTCCTCTCCTATCTTATGATCATCAATCTTATTATGTTTGTTTTATGATCACTACAGTAAGTTCACCTGGATTTATTTTCTTCACTCTAAGTCTCAGGTTCTCAGTGTGTTCACTCAATTTCGTCAGCTTGTTGAAAAATATTTTGGCCTTCCCATTAAAATTTTTCAATCTGACTGGGGTGGAGAATATCAAGCCCTCACTTCTTATCTTGCGACTCATGGTATTACTCATAGATCCTCATGCCCCCATACCCCTGAGCAGAATGGGTGTGCTGAACGCAAACATCGTCACATAGTTAACAACGGTCTTGCCATGTTGCATCATGCGCAAGTTCCCCTCAAATACTGGCCTCTTGCATTTGACACAGCCTGTTATCTTATTAATCGCACTCCCACACCTCTTCTAAACAATCTCTCTCCTTTCACTGTCTTGTTTAAACAAACACCTGATATTCTTAATCTTCGTGCTTTTGGTTGTCTTTGCTATCCATGGCTTCGTCCGTATACATCTAATAAACTTCAACCCCGTTCTATTCCCTGTGTTTTCATGGGTTATAGTAAGTTACACAAAGGTTATCGATGTCTTGATCGGGCAACAGGTCGTATTTATGTTAGTCGACATGTCCTCTTTGATGAGTCCATTTTTCCTTTTACAACCACTCCTCACTCTTCCTCTCCTACTCCTTCCCTCCAACAATTTTTAGACACATCCCCAATTAATTTACCCAGCCCACCTCTTTCCCATCCTTCACAGACCAAGCAATTAATTCTACATCACCCTACCCCACCATTACTTGGCCCAACTCCCACCATTATCTCGTCTCCCACCTCTTCCTCACTAGAATCCAACCCTCCAACCCAATCTGGCCCACCACCCACTTCCCACCCCAACCCACTGTCCCCTACTCACAAAATAACAACTCCATCACCATCATCAAAGCCATCGGCTCCCATCTCTGCTGCTCCTCCTCTGCTAAAAACTTACTTCCGTCGTCCTACTATTCCGTCCCGACCTCCGTTTAACACATCACCCCGGATCCTCCCTAATCCTTCCCCACTTCCTCCTCCACAACGTATGACTACTCGCTCCCAGACCGGCAACTTAAAGCCACGGCAATTCATCGCCTCTCTTACACCAGCTCTTCCAACCACAGCTGCACAGGCAATGAAAATTGCGCATTGGAGAGCTGCCATGACCTCCGAGTTTGATGCATTAATTCGCAATCACACTTGGGATCTCGTTCCTCCACCACAGGATTGCAATTTGATATCTAACAAATGGGTGTTTGCTATCAAGACTAATCCAGATGGCACAATCGAACGACACAAGGCCCGCCTTGTCGCCCGTGGATTTGAGCAGATTCCGGGACGGGATTTTAACCAAACCTTCAGTCCGGTCCTCAAGCCGGCAACTTTAAGGCTTATTCTGGGCATTGCTGTATCGCACTCTTGGCCGCTGCACCATATAGATATCTCCAACGCCTTCCTTCACGGCACATTACAGGAAGAGGTATATATGCGTCAACCACAGGGATTCATCGATCCAGACCGTCCCGACCATGTCTGCCGCCTGAACAAGTCTCTATATGGTCTTCGACAGGCACCTAGAGCGTGGTTTCATTGTTTGTCACAAGCTCTTAGGGAATTTGGATTCATTGCCTCGAAGACAGACCCATCTCTCTTCATTTACAAGGTTGGCCAAGTTACTTTGTATATGTTGGTCTACGTCGACGATATAGTGATCACCGGCACTCATTCCTCATCAATTCAGCAACTCATGACTTTCCTCCGATCCCGGTTTGCTCTCAGAGATCTT